CCGCACCCGCGCGGGTACCTGGCGGGGCTCGCAATCCCGCAGGACACGCGGCGTCGACCTAGCGGAGATGCGCGAGCGCGCGTCACGGAGCTTAAGACGCCGCTTCCGCCCCGCCCCCGAGACGCCTTCGCCGCCCATTGGCTGGCGTCGGGGGCTGGGCACCAATCGCCGCGGGCAGCCACCCTCCGCCCCGCCCCCGGGCCCCGGGCGTGCGGACCCTTCCTCTGACGCGGGTTCGAGCCGCCCTCCGGCCTACGGCGCAGGCGCGCGCCTGCCGGACCCGAGAGAAGCCGGATTCTAGTCCTGTCTGGACCCCGGGGGAGAAGAGTCCCAAAGCGCTGGAACGTCACTTCGTCCTGCGGGGGGCTCGCGGCGTTTCTTGGCCCCTCATTTGCCCTCCGCGCTACCCCCAGGCCTTCGCCACTCACAGTCCGAAGGGGAGCGCGGCCCTGCTCGCTGGGCTCGGAACTCTGCTCTCTGCTCCCAGCTCAGGAGTCCTCGCTGCTCACCTCGGCGGGGCTGCCAGCCGTAAACCGGCCGCTGCACAGCTCGTGCTGCACGCTGGAGCGGCGCCTTCACACAGGCAGAAGCTCGGAACTCAAAGTGGATGGCGAGATGAGCTCACGCTAGACCCTTTAGTCGACACCAGTTTTTGTTCTCAGTAGACAAACCCCGCCTGACGACGGTGCTTCTCAAGAATTTTCCACTTCAGAATAGCGGGAAGTGATGGCGTTCAGTAGAAAGCGCGTCCAATTGTGAATGTTGGCCTTATCCCTGGTTAGCAGTAAGGATAGCTGTATGATACCCTCTCGGGGTGCTGGACAGCTCCCGGTGGGGGCCGAGTGGTCAGAAGATAGGCACTATACTGAGTTGCTGGTGTTTCACGACTTAAAATGGGTTTGTGCACGCTGCCCACTCAACTCCGTGAAGATCTAGACTGGGAAGGGGCTGTCACTGACCTAGGTTATCCCTCAGGGGAGGGACAGCCCAGCCCTAGTCCACCTTTCCTGGACAGCTAGTGGCAAACAGCTGCCGGGAGAGTGGACCGCCCCTGAGTCCAAGCTCCATTAGGCCACTGTAATCAGTAAGGGTCCCCTCCCCCAAGGAAAAGAAGCTATTCTGCAAATTGGAAATTTAGCATGCATTTGTTCAGAAATCACTGAAGTCTGGAGATGATCCACAAAGGAGGGCGAAGTGCCAAGGATTAATGCACCAGGTTGGCCCTGAGCCTTTTCCTCTGGTAAAGGAACTTTCCAGAACCAAAGGGAGAACAAAAGGAGGACTCCCTGCCAGGGATCACCACTTCCCCACAGGAAGGGAGCTAGGGTGATAAGCATTCTGACATCTGATTTCTCCTCTCCTGCCTGGATTTCCCATGGACTGAATCACTTAGGGGGCACTTTAAGGCAGTCCCTGCAGATCAGTCTCCTGGAACACAGGATGGGAAAGGATGGAGAGCAGATGGAGGAAGGCAATTGGATGACATTCCACACCGAGCAAAGGCTACTCTTAGCTGACTGCAAAGGTCAAGTCCAAGCTCTATGGTGGGGGCAGGAAAAGTGTGGGCACAGAGACAGCAGAGCCCAGGTCTGCAAATTCCAGGCCAAGACACACAAAGGGATTCAGTCCTCCACAGCTCAGTCTGCCCCAACCAAGCTCCTTCCCTCCCACTGGTATGGCCACATCCTCTCTGGAATGCTTTAGAAGCAGGAGGTTGCCCCTCCACACCCCCAAATTCAGTGTGATTCATTTCTTGGAAGCTAGATCCTTCTGCCCAAGGGGTCAGAGAGGACGTGAATCTGTACAGTCCTGCTCTGTAAACCTGCAGTGTGTAGAGCCAAGACCAGCGCTTGGGATTCCCACAGCGCCTGGGAATCCTGGTCAGCCCTCACAAGTTGGAGCAGATACTTCAGAGTTCAGAACGGAGGGCACGACACCCCCGATCTGATCACAACACCAAATCTGTTACAGTGCCGTGGACTTGCAGACAGGGTACTCTTTAACCGCCCCCAAAAAAATTCACATGCGAGAAACTGCTGAGAATGTCTATATTTTATCTCTTATCAGGAAAATGCAATAGGCACAGAGAGCATGATAATTTTTTATGGTTTCTTTCTCTTCTAGCATTGCTTTTCAGCTTAAGGTGGCCTTGGAAACAGGGGCTGGAAAACAGATTATTTTCAGCCAAGAAATGAAGTCTTTGTCTGCTTTTATCTGCACACTCTAGAAGCATGCAGAACGCACTTTACATGATGTTTGAACCTCTGAAACTGGCCAGAGGTAATTCAAGTAATTAACTGTAGAGGAATATAAAACTAGAATATAAAGATGGACCCAAAAGCAGCCCCCCCGAGACCTGTATAGATTTTATTAGTTCATTCAACAGATGTGCCTTGAGTTTCTTCCCCTGTGAGGGACTTGGCGCCAGCAGGAACACATGGACCATCTTCAGTAACCCGGAAAAATTCAGCCCGTGCTCCCTGCTCAACAAGGGCAAACTGCAATCTCACTCCTTTGGCCACTGCACCAAGTAATGGAAGAATCCCTCATTTTGTGTACCCATCACCTATTCGATCAACAGAAAAACAATTTCTGGATGACACAGCCTCCTGCTTCTCATGACTTTGTCTAACTTGTTATTATCATCAGTACAATCTACATCTACTTGAGCTTGAAGTGATTAAGAACTTAAGCTGACAGTTCAGCAGAAATTCTGTTAAGGAGGCTTAGGAAGTGAGCTATTGGGTGACTTTTACCCAAAGGGAGAATTCTCCCCAGGTTGTATTCATCCTAAAAGGTGTTTTCGAAGCAGAGGTGCAGCAACGCCCATAAGTTGCCCCCACCTGCACACCTGCTGCTGCCATCCCCAGGGATACAGCATTTGTGTCTGCAAGACAAGACACCTCCAGGCGGCAGGGGGCTGGCGGGTGCAAGCAGTGGCGGGTGCTGGAGAGAGACCTCTGGTAAAGCTCTGAGCTGGACACAATAGGCTGAGAGAAATTTCGCTGTTAAAATATTGTCTCTGGGCCCTCCCTGGGGGTGCAGCAGGTTAAAGCACAGCACTGAGAAGCTGAAGCCACTTCTGTATGAGTTCGATCCCCGCCTGCCCCGGAGGTGACCACAGGGCACGGCAGACCTCTCCTGACCGCCCGCTGCTCCCCTCAGCAGTGGACTTCGTCCATCTGCCTGTTCTGCTCCCCACTCTGTCTCTGGTGAAGCCTCTCGCT